TATTGTCCTTAACTCTGTTGGCCATGGATTTCTTTTTGTGTCCTTTTGCTTTCCTTATCAATTTTCTACCATTCCTAGTTTGTGATTTATATTCATTAGGATCAACTTCCCCTTTCTTTCATTTGTTATATATATTTTAAATTTTTTATAGCTACCTACACTTCCCCTCTAAACCAGCTCATTTTTTAACCAATACAGGCTTTTTGGGCTTCATGATTTGGTCCTAGATTCCCAAGCTACAATTTTCTCAAAGAGGCTGAGATATAAACATTGTCTATTCCACTGTACTACTTTGGCGCTTATTCTGTTTCCTGAAGAAATAAATTTCACCTATTGAAAACAAATGACTAAATGTGACAGTATTCTTACACGGCTTTGATATCTCTCAGACATTGTATCTTATTGCTCTGTCAGTTAAAAAGTGTCAATAACTTGTAAGAAGTATAGGAATGTATACCCTGAGCTTTGCAAAGTGCACAGCAAGGCCTCCACTCTGTGTAACTCCACAGACATACTAAAAACATTCCACAATCTTTATAAATTCCACAGAGTCCTGTAAGCGCTCACAATGTACTCTGCAGGGATTCAACACTTCTGAATAGATGGAATTTAATCATCTAGCTGCCATTGGCTTCTAACCATTAGGAAACTTGCTTCAAACACTAGATATCAAAAATTGTATTGCATACAGTAAGCAATGCACACTCTGAAATCTAACTTGTCCAAATGGAGTACTTTGGGATTTGGGGTCTAGACTCTTTAATCTGCATCCACAAGAATCAATTTATATCCGACCCGCAATCCGCACTCTATATTTTATCTATATCTGCATCCGCACCACAGCAGCACGCTATCTCACAGTGCCTCTCAGGAGGAGCGTCTGTGTGCATGCGTGTGTACTGTATATAGGATCTCAAAGGCAGGGAAGCAGCTGTCTGCAGCTCATAGCTTATGAAGGTGCTTCCTCACCTTCCCTCTCCCCCATATACAGAGAAAGGGGAGGTGATGGATCCAGGCAGACAGCAAAATCCCCCACGCTCCTATTGCAGCGGTTTAAGCAGCCAAGCTATTTAGGAAACCTCTCCCGACTTCATTATTGCTATATCAAGTCAGTTGGAGAGGGAGGCAGCTGCTTCTGCAAAGTAAGTATGTACGGGGCCAGGAGGCGAGGGAATATAGGATCTGGAAGGCAGGGAAGCAACCTCATAGACTATGAGCTGCAGACAGCTGCTTCCCCACCGTTGAGATCCTTTTTTAGAGCCCTGTGCAGATACAAAATTTGTTTACGCATCTAATCTGCAAAATCTGCAGATATCCGCATCCGCACATGCGGATATAAAACTGATATCCATGGATTTGCAGGGCTCTACATGTGTTGATGGTGGTATCACATGTAGCAGGAAATCACAAACATGGACAGCTTGATTAATTTCAGTGTAGGGAAAGGATGAGAAAATTGGGGCCAAATTCTGAGTTGGTTTAAGCACACACGTTAAAGTCAGTGGACTTGCACCTGCTTCCACCATGTCTGAAGTTGGCCTTTAGTTTTACCATGAAAAAATGTGCATTTGTAATACTTACAGACCCTGGTCATTGTCAGGCTGGATTAAACCTGGGACATCTGGAACTAAATACATGAGCCTCTACTGCATGAGCTGAAAGCCCTCTTAGCTAAGGCTGTAGCAGACTCATTCATCTCTAAGTAGTCTTGGTGCCATTAGAGGGGACAGAACACCACTCCCAGGAGGTGTGTGGGTTACACATTCTCTTTCTTTTAAAAAAATACAGCTACCAATCACTCCCTCCTGCCTTTAACCTCCACATTCTCATGGCCTCCTTTCTTCCCCTCCTTTCTCTTCTGGGTGCTGTGTAATCTCACATCTGCCTGCTCCACTCTACCAAGATTGCTTTCATTAAGCACACTTATGAGTTGCCTATTGCCAGATCCAAGGAGTTCTTCTCCAACCTTATCATTCTTGAGCTATCTGCTGCTTTCGACACCCCCTCCCAATCTTCCTTGACTTTCTCCTCTCTGTGGGTTTTCAGTCTAACTCAGGATCTGCTTTCATGGCTTCATTTACTGTGTCTACATTCATGACTCTCAAATCTACATTTCAACAAATGGCATCTGAGATCTCTGGCTTCTCCTCCTGGATGCCCAGCCACCAACTCAAACTGAAAGGGCCTTATTCTCAATGTACAGTAGAGAGAGTGGTGGTGGGATTGGCGGGGAGGGAAGACATGGCTATAGCTTCCTGACACTGCCTAGCCCCGAAAAGGAAGTAAAAAGAAGTGCACAAAACAACCAGCATAACTCAATATCTCTCCCTGTGTAACACTTGGCCTCCCATATTCCCACCGCCACCCTTTGTTTATGGCATCACTTGCTATGTTATGTCTAATTTATAATGTTAGCCCTCCAGGGAAGGGTCCTGTCACTTCTTTGTCTCTAAAGTGCTTTGCTCTACAGGGGGCTTGAATAAATATTAAATTCTAATAATACTGAGCAGGCAAACTTGTCCTTTACATTAATGTAATTATTTTTCACAGCATCAAGAATGGCGTTCCAAACTCAGTTACTTTTCTCCTGTTGCTAAACTTTGTCATATTGATAGGAGTAATGCTACCATTCAAATGCAGAAAAAACATGTTTCTATACACTACTCAGAACACTAAATGAGATTTCATCTGTGCCCGTAATTAATATCATCCTCACATGGAAATTAGAGGATTTAACCCAATCCTGGTTTTTGTTTAGTCTGCTATTGTGCTGGAAAAGCTTGTTGAGATCTATAAAAGCCACCACTACCCTTAAAGAGAATGTGTGCATACATTTAATTCCAAAATATGCTTGCTTCCCTCTATATAATCACAGGGTCCTGATTCTAATATTGATTTTTGCTTGTCATTTAATACTGTGCTGAGTCAGCTTGGTTTTATTCCCATGCAAAGCACTGATACTACAACCACAATGTAAATAAAATGTGTCATCTTAGTTGTGCATTCTGAATAAATATCTTTAAATAAGTAAATAACTCCACTATACAAACAACATTCTTTCACATGGCTTGGGTAGATAGCAATGATCACAAATTTACATCTAGATTTGATAGCCAGCACATTGCTGCAGCAATGAGCTGGTGAATGTCTTTCAGGCCCCCGGCGAAAGAATGAAGGGGATGCTCAGATCTGATGTGCTCCAACTTTTGTGCCTGGTGACCACAGTCACAGACAAAAGTTTGGAGCAAGATGACAACCTTCATGTGGTGCTCCTGTTAAGTGTTGGTGTTTTTTGTGCTTTGTGTAAATTCACTAACATACCAATGTCTTCAATTGGCCACTGGACATTGCATTACCAACCTCCAAGTGAAAGTAGCAACTATATATATATATGCAATTAGAGCAAGTCTTACTTTATGTCATAAAAATATGGAATAGGGCATGGGACAGGTCTTTTCAAATAAAAATTCTCTAAACTCAAAACCCCCAAGGTCAAAATATGGTGACTTCATTTTTCAAACTCAAAAGGATGATTTAATAATGCATTTGGGATTAAGACAGCCCCGTTTCTATACGTGGCATACAATAGTCAGTGGAGGATAGGATGCTGTCTGGTGCATTTCTATTCATTCTTTCATTACAGTTACACAAAGTAGATCCATTTATTATACACCCTCTTGCATCTTTTTAAAAGACCAAATTAAATGTAAAATGCAGAATGGGAGAAAAGAAAGCATGATAAAGGACTCACTCACCAACAGAAGTTGGTCCAATAAAAGATATTACCTCACCCACTTTGTCTCTCTAACGGGCTCATTAGACATTTAATCTGAACTTCTTTTCTTAACCTTCTATTCAAACAACAAACAGCACATTGGTTTACTCCTGGACACTTAAAATGAAGCAAAACTACAGAAGTTTATATCCCTCTGATGTCCCATTACAGTGCTGATAAAATCTAGCTGCCATGTCATTGTCACTTCTGTGGTAATTACTCTGGTGATGGATACTTGTCACTATTTACAGGAAAGTTGGTACCTCATCAAAGAGAACTGGACACCTCTCTGATTTGGTTACCTTTGTTAATAGATTTCAGTAATTGTGAACAAAGATGTGGTAGCATGTCCAAAAAAGAGGAAACCCAACCAGTTATTATGGACTTCTTCATTAAACTTCAACCGAATGATGCAACTCTGGGACAAATAACGTTGATCATTTTGAACACTAAACGGCCTCTTCCACCAAGTCAGCCAAAGTGACCTTTCTTGATAGAGTATCAGAGTTGTCTTTAGACACCACTATGACAAAACTCAAGCAATAGGCAGAGGTGATGGGTAAGGCATAATGGCACATGAAACAAGTTGTTTGGACTTATATCTACTGCATATACTCCTTTCTTAATTTCCAGATACCAAAGAGCAGCCATTGGAAGGAGTACAACAAATTATCTGCCTAGTTACACTGACTGGTAAAAGACATTGCAATGCAGCAAACTGTCACTGAACAGAATAAAAATATTGTTTACATGAAAGTGAAAATATTGAATATTGAGAGCAAGTGTTAATTTTCATCACAAAAATGCATTCCTGTATCGTGTACATTTCAAATATTGTAAGCCTTTGAACTGACTGGCAGTTTTTTCCCCCCTTGCTTTGCTGAGTTTCTCTCATCCTCATAATAAAGGCTTTACATTTACAAAATGACTAGCTTCCCTTTTTTTCCCCCCAGTGTAGTTTTGGCAGAAGATACCTTCCCATTTGGAAAGTCACCAAGTTCTTACCTGGCACTCTTAGCAAAACAAATCAGCAATGTTTTCACAATAAAAGGCCAACTGGCTTTTACAAAGTCCCTGAGAATGTTGATGTAAAATCTCTCAATAGTGATTGCAAACGAAACATTCATTTAACTTTATGAAGTCTCAGTTGAACAGTGTTTGCTCTAGTGGAAATACAGTGACTAGGCAGCTTCAGCAGCCTGAATGAAACATTAAGACAGTGTACCTGCATGATAATAAGAAGGTCAAGCACTAAGATGAAAGAAGCCAGGAAGGCTCTTGAGACCTCATCACTTGGCAGAAATCCACGATTCAACTTGTCCCAACTGATCCAGTCAGTAGTGATGACAAGCACAACTACAGAGGTCAAAGTAAATAGAACAGTCCTGCAAGGGAAAAAAATACTTCAGAAACAATACTGTATAATACAATTCTACATGATTTTTTCTATCCTCTAACAGTTAACTAATACTTTATCGTACTGTACTGCAGACCAAGTGAGCTTGAAGAAAATTATGTGTAAAAGTAGGTAATTTTACTCAAGATATAAAAGGCACTGGACAGATCTTTAGTGCAAAGAAATGTGCTAGCTGTTTCCAAACAAGCTGAGAAATTAATGCTGAGCTACATCATTATATTTCAGTTTCATACTTTGCATATATATTGTAAAGACTAATAAAGACAAATGTAATATAATAAACCAATAATTATTTTTAAAAGTACCAAGACTACCATGGTGTCTTTGAAAAATGGAATACAGACTCACTACCCCTGCATCGTGTTTACGATTACCCCCATCAACTTTCAGTCCGGAGCCAAGGTTCCTTTCGGGCGTATATTCTATGTCCAAACCAGAGCTAGCATCATTAAGGGAGTACCTCCAGAAAAACCTAACTAAAGTATAACCTCAGAGTTACGAACACCAAAGTTACGAACCCACCAGTCAACCACACACCTCATTTGGAACCAGAAATATGCAATCAGACAGCAGGAGAGACCAAAAACACACACACAAAAACAGCAAAAACAGTACAGTACTTTGTTACATGTAAACTACTAAAAAAATAAAGGGAAAGTTTAAAAAAAAGATTTGACAAGGTTAGGAAACTGTTTCTGTGCTTGTTTCATTTAAATTAAGATGGTTAAAAGCAACATTTTTCTTCTGCATAGTAAAGTCTCAAAGCTGTATTAAGTCAATGTTCAGTTGTAAACTTTTGAAAGAACAACCATAACCTTTTGTTCACAGTTACGAACAAGCACGATTCCCGAGGTGTTCGTAACTCTGAGGTTCTATTCTAATGGTTTTATCCACTGCTCTGCCTCCCATGAAGGTATCCTGGTACCCTTACCAAAGAAGAAAGACAGCTCTCTGAGACTTTATAGACTACAAGGCTCTGAACCAAATAACTATATGCAATAGTTACCCTTTACCACTAATCCCAAGCTCTTGGATAGGGTGACCAGATCACCCAGGTCAAATATCGGGACGCGGGGGGGGGGGGGGGGCGGGGAGGGGGGGGGGGGGGACGAAAAAGGGGGGGCGGGCCCCCCCCCCCTTCTTCCACAAGTGCTGGAGGGAGGCCCCGGAGATGCAGGGGGAGCGGGGTGCCGTGAGTGTCAGTCCGGCCTGGCCCCGAGCAGGCTGGACTCGGGCGCGGTACCTGGAGGGAGAGTAGGGGGGCAGCCCGTGGGGCCAGGCGGCGGCTATTCTCCCCCCCTGGGCAGCGGGACTCGGGAGCAGCCGCTGCTGCAGCTCCCACTGCCACAGCTCCCACAGCTCGGCGGCTGCAGCTCTGGAGCCAGGGCCCGAACCCCCCGAGCCCAGGCCTGTTGCGGGGACCCAGCTGCGCGCACACTGTGCCCAGCCCCTGGCCAGTCGCGTCTGGGCTGGCTGCCCAGCTGGTGCAATCCCGCGGCGGCCCCGGAGTGGGGGCAACAGGCCCCAGCCCCCCCATCCTGCTTGGGTCCCGCAGGGGAACGAACGGGGCTGGGCTGCCCCCCTACTCTCTCTACCGCCTGACTGAATCCTGCCTGCGCTCGGGGCCAGGCCGGACTCTCACTCACCCCGGCCCCGCGCTCCCCCTGCGTCTCCGGGGCCTCCCTCCAGCGCTTGTGGAGGGAGGAGGAATGGCGAGCCAGGGGAAGAGGCGGGGATTTGGGGAGGGAGCCAATGGGGGAAGGAGGGGGCGGAGTCGGTGCGGGAGGGGGCGCGAGCACTTCCGGGCTCCGGAGCATTTGCTTGTTTGTCCAGTGTCCTGACCTAACATCGGTCGGGACGTGGGACAAACAAGCAAATATCGGGACAGTCCCGATAAAATCGGGACGTCTGGTCACCCTACTCTTGGATCAAGTACGGTCACTGCGGGTGTTTATTAAAGTGGGCCTCAGAAGAACATATAATCTAGTTCAAATTGAGGCAGGGGACGAGTGGAAGATAGACTTTAGAACAAGGTATAGACACTTCAAGTATTTGGTAATGCCCTTTGGACTCACCAATGCTCCCATCACTTTTGAGCACCTGATCAACAAGATATTTTGAGATATCCTAGACCAGTTTGTTGGCATATCTAGATGATATCTTACTCTATTCCAGTAGTCAAGCAAGCCACAACCATCATGTCCATGAAGTTCTCACATGATTTCCCCAGCACAGGTTATATGAAAAACTGGAGAAGTGTGTATTTGAGCAATCATCCATCAAATTTGGGGGTTCATCGTGTCAGCAAATAGACTATGCATCGATTGCAGGTATCTGCAATGTAGGATTGGTTTGAACCCGGGAGCATCTGAGACATCGAGAGATTCATTGGGATTGCCAAAGGTCGCGGCCCCGATAACTGCAATCCTCCAAAACCCTTTCACTGGCCCCCGGAGGCCTTTGAACTCCCGAAGACAGCTTTCACATCTTCCCCAGATCTGGTCCACCCTGATCCTCACCTACCCTTTGTCCTTGAGTATGACACTTCTGATGTAGCCATCAGGGCAGTATTGTCCCAAAAAACAGGGTCCCAGCTTGGAATGCATCCATTTGCATATTTTTCATGACAACTCACCTCAACCGAACACATTTATGAAATAGCAGACAAGGAGTTACTCGCCATCAAGCCTGGATTGGAGATTTGGCGACAATACCATGGGAGAGTCAAACACCTCATCCTAATCTTAACTAACCATAAGAATCTAGAATAGCTACAATCTGCCAAAGCTCTGAATCAGCAACAGTTGATCTAGGAGTTTCACTTCCTAGATCTCTGGCCCCAGGCATCCACCACCGGCCAATTGGAAGGGGTCAACCAGGTGCTCAGACAACACCTATGCTGTTTCCTGAACCACTCCCAAAACAACTGGGTTGTGGTACTCCTGATCACTGAATTTACATATAATGTGGAATACTCCTCTACCCGATCCAGCCCCTTTTTCCTCCAGCCATGGTTTTTATTCTTGTTTCTCTTGTCCACAATGGTTTCTGCTGCCTCTGATCTGGTGCAGACCTTTCATTAAACCCAAGACAACCTAAATGAGCATCTGGAAGTGGCCGAAACAGTCTACAAATGCCATGCTAACAAACACGACCAGAAGCCACAACTATAAAGGCAGGTCAGAAAATATGACTGTCCACAACACACCTACAGACCAGCTGACCTGCACACAAATTAGGTCACCAATAAGAAGGCCCTTTCACTCTTACTCAGGAGATCATTTGAATTACAACTCCCTTGAAGCCTTTCCTTGACAATCCGTTCCCCAGGCAGCATATGCCATCCCCACCCCTGGTTCAAGTTCAAGACCATGAGGAGTACCTTGTTCATCACATCCTGGACTTCCAAAGTCACAGAGGGACCCTGTACTATGTGATTGATTGGGAGGGCTATGGGCCCAAAAACGCTCTTGGGAGCTAACTCATCATGTGCACATGCCTGAAAAAGTATGGGCCTTCCACAGGAATCATCCTGAGAAGCATGGCCCCAACGCATCCAGGGATCACCCTTGAAATGGGTGTTTGTGGGAATCAAGTTTCAAATTCAGGCTTGTGGGGCTGCCAAGCCTTATCCTCTGTCCCATCAAGCTGCAAGGGCTGACATGGCAACTGCTGCTAATATCCCACCCCAGATGCTATACCTGCTGACTCAGAAGGGTCAGATGACTTACAGCAGACTAGTGATTGGACATCACTGGATGTAAAGCTTCCTGTTCCTGTCCCATCCCTTGTCCGAGCAACTAGTTGCTAGGCCTGTTGTTGCCCAGACCTTGAAACCAAGTCCCTGCTTCCTTGCCTGGTTCCTGTTCCTCATCCCTGCTACCACACCTCATCCCTGTTCCTCATCCAGTTGCCAACTCTGGTTTTGACCCTTGGCGTGATTTCTGAGTCTGACTCTGGCTTGACCCATGGCTTGACCCCAACCCCAATGCTACTCCTGGCTCCAGTCACCAGACAACCCACATTACAGGCCCTGACACATCCAAAAATAAATATTTGGTTTTGGCTTCAGTGGTACTTTGGAATTTATTCCAAGGCATTTAAACTCTACTCATTTTCTTCAGCTAGGGCAAAACAAACTTGAGAATACTTCCAGACATGACCAATACTCGGTAGAGTAAAAAAATAATAATAAAAAAACGGCAAACAGATAGACACTGATAGATACATAAATTTACAGAGATAAATCTTGCTCATGTCTGTGCAGAGGGAAAAGCCATAGATCTTCACACAAGAAATAGTGTATTCATGTGGGCATCTAGATAGTATCCTGGCATGCTGGTGGGTCTGAGGCAAAATCTGAAAGTGAAGCCCCCCCCAGAATGCCAACGGTACAAAAACACTGATGAAAGGATGGAGTGGGGCACTGAAGAGCTGGCATGCCCCACACTAACCCCACAGCAATGGCTCCAGTCCCACAGGGGCTGAGTTAGACTCTCTGCTGTGCCAGGGCCGCAGTGCCACTCAGGTTCAGCCAGGGTGCCTGATTGAGGGGCAACTGGGCCAAACCCAGGGGCAGCTCCAGGCACCAGCGCAGCAAGCACGTGCCTGGGGCGGCAAGCTGCAGGGGGCGGCCTGCCGGTCGCTGTGAGGGCGGCAGTCAGGCAGCCTTTGGCAGCGTTTCTGCGGGAGGTCCGCCGGTCCCGCGGCTTCGGCGGCAATTTGGCGGCAGGTACGCCAAAGGCACGGGACCGGCAGATCACCTGCAGAAACGCCGCCACAGGCTGCCTGACTGCCATGCTTGGGGCAGCAAAAAACATAGAGCTGCCCCTCGCCAAACCAGAGTAGCATTGTGACCCATGCACCAGATCACAATGCCACTAGTTTGAGGGCTCTCTCAAATGGGGGGCCTGGGGCAAACGGCTCATTCCCTGCCTCCCAGGTGGCCCTGCTGCCATGGCACCAGGG